GGTCTTCTGCTGCATGTTAACCAATTCTGTCAATACCTCATGATCGCACAGGCTGGTGTGTTTCTTCCTTGTGGATTTGTTGCTTCGGTGCTAGATGGCCGCTTGTTTAATTTCAAGCATTTAAGACCCCAGATGCTTTATCTTTTGATAGCCAGGTACCATCAGCTTTCTTCACCACATTTGCTTATATATCCATCTTGTCTTCAGCGATCATGTCAGGAGGGTGAGCATCACAGAATGCCAGATTGTTAGAACAGTGATTTTGCGTTGAGGGAGGGCTTGAGCAGAGGCCCCAAATCCGTCCACTTCCTCAATTTATTGCTATAAAAATATATGTAGATAAGCCACTACCTCTGTTTTTATGAATTAATGTATTCACTTAAGTGCACACTTCCTTTTATATCTCTATCCATAGATTTGCTTCCTAGATTTTTCCTGTTTCCTTTTACCTTTCTCCTGCTCCACCTTCATGCTCGCCCTTCTTCTGCCTCTTAGTATTTTCTCTCAGCTAGATTGCAGTCACTCCAACACCACCAGGATCTCTACGTCCTCCTCTCCTCATTGTTGCTTTTAATTCCCTAGTTGTTCCCCTGTCTGTGGTATTGTTTGCTCAGTGCTCCTTACCCCACCTCTGCCCCCCAAGTCCCTCCAAAACTGTTGGTCCTGTTGCTTTCTCCTCAGGCTTGCTACCCATGCCTATCTTATATAGGTAGGCAAAGCAACAGTGACAGAGACAAAATAGAAAGAAAACAAAAGATTGTATAAAAAGAGAAAGAAAATACTAGCAAAAAATAAAAAGCATATGTAAAAGGTCTGTTCACTGACCTTTATGACTATCTCCTCACCGGTCTTGGGAGGTTCTGGGAACTGCCCCTCCTAGCCTGAAGTCTATATTGGGGGCTCCTCAGGGGTTTTGTGCCTTGGCTTTGCTCCCATTGCTGATCTGTTATGTTACCTTTTTGGCTCTCCCCACTGTGGAGGTGGTCAGACTGGACTCACTCCCTGCCACAGATCCCCAGTGTTGTCCTAGGTTGCTGTAATTTTATATGAATTTTATGTAGTTAATTTTTTTAAGTTTTTCTTGAAATAACTTCTTTACTCCTTGTATTTTACAGATGCCTTCCAGGATGTCAAATTTGCCAGCAACTTGTCAGGTAAGTTCAAGCAAATAACAACATTTTATAAATTTTGAAGAATAAACAAAACAAGTCAATAATCTCCATTTCAATAATGAAAAAAGAAAGAGAAAAACTTACTGCCATTGAGCCAAAGCCAACTCATAACAAATCTATAGGACAGTGTAGAATTGTCCCTTTGGGTTTCCAAGACTGTTAACTCTTTACAGGAGTAAAAAGCCTCATTCTTCTCCCATGGAACGACTGGTAATTTCAAAATGATGACCTTGTGGACCGCAGCCCAACACGTAACCACTACACTAACTGGGCTCGTCAATTTGAATATAGTGGAATAAAATTCACAGGGTGCTGTATTTAAAAAGTTCCTTACCCAAACTTGGGATGATAAGACTCGGCCATGGTCTTTTGAAATTCTATAAAGCTATCTGAGCTGGGTCCTAAAGTTGAATTAGTTGCACAAAATTTTATTGGCATAAAATTCACATACTGAAATGAATATTTCTTTTACATCAAGAAGAATTGTACAATCATCACTACAATCAGATTTAGAACATTTTCTTCAATCTCATACTTAACATCCTTAGCTTTCTATCTATCCCCAACCTCCCCTCCCATTCCCCAACCTCCCCTCCCATTCCCCAACCTCCCCTCCCATTCCCCAACCTCCCCTCCCATACAATTTGGGGGTAAATTTATTACTGTGTCTTCAAGTTCACTGATTTTCTTCTTTGTAGTGTCTAATATGTTTTAAATCTCATCTTGTGACTTTTTCATTTCAAGTATTGTTTAAGTGTTCCATTGAGTATTTTTAATAACTTCCCATTCTTTCCCCATCATACTCCTATTTCTCTCCACCTTCCCAAGCATAATTATATTAACTAAAGGCAAAACCAGTTGTCGTTGAACAAACCTATATGTGTCAGAGTAGAGGTGTGGCTACCTTTTCTGGACTGGATTGCCAAGCCTTCATAGGTACTTCTGGGTGGATTTTAGTTAGTAGCCAACTACAAAACCAGCCATTAACTCCTATACAAAGAGCCCTTGTAAAGGAATTTGTAGAATAAACAAACAAAAGTTTATGGGAAATTTTCCTTATCTTTTAATTCCATATTTCCAGTAGCTTTTTGAAGCCTCCTCATACTTGTATTTAGGACTTAATTATAATGGCTTAATGTCTTTTTCTGCTAATTAAAACCTTTATAATTTCTAGATCTCCAATTATTGCTTTTTTCCCCTCTTATTTATGGTTATATGGTTTTAAAATTTTTAATTATTTTGATGGGTATGGTATATTAAGAATTTAGTTTGGGGGTATTGGATTTTCTTGTATCACATTAGGGAATTTGGGGTTTATTGTAGCATATAGTTGAGCCACATTGGATCAGCTTTATCTTTTCAAATTTGTAATTTACATGTGGTCAGTGAGCCTGATGAGGTCTCATTCAGCACTACTACATGATTACCCATTGAGGACCCTATGCATATGGGTTTCATTTATTAAGAAGTCTTCCACTCTTGTTTTATGGTGGGAACAGACTTTTTTTGCCACTTGTGAACTTTAGGAATTGGGAAATTGTTGACCTACTGTTTTTTGCTAGCTTTTACCTTTGCATTGAAAAGATTATTTTTATACGTGTTTAGTGGTTAATTCCCTTTTGTTACTGACTAGTATTCTATGACTATACCACATTTTGTAGTTGCCCATACTAAATTTAGATAACTTCACCATCTTACACTAACGTATTAGTTATACTAACTCAGTGCTAGTGTGAAGGTACTACTTAATTTATTTAAAATAAAGTCAAGCTATTTTGAAGCTCTTTATTGGAACAATCATTTTTATTCCATTTTTTATTCAAACTTTGTTTTTTGAAATATGTTTTTAATTTTAATTTTGTCTTCTTTCCCTATAGATGCTTTTGTGGGCGCTTGGTCAAGCAACATGCTTGTTTTACTGCAAGTCTTGCCATGAAGTACTCAGATGTGAAATGGGGTGACCATTTTAACCAGGCAACAGAAGAGTGGTCGGTGCACAAACATACGGAACAGAGCCCCACAGATGCGTACGGAGTCATAAACTTTCAAGGGGGTTCTCATTCCTACAGGTCTAAGGTATGCCATGTATTTCTTTATCTACTTCATTATCTTGTCTAAGTAATTTTTCTAACACATGTCAAAATAATCTCAATCACTCCTTTATTGTGAAGCTATGTATGTAAAAAAAATATATGAAAGGATTGTCATTTCCTCATGTTGGATTAAACTTTTTATCACTATGAAATTTATCACATCATTTTTCTTGCCAAACTCTACTTTTTCTGAAATCAGTGCCTAAAAGCACTTGTGAATGGGAACTAGGCAACGATGCCTTTTATTATTATTCCTATTCAGTATTATATGAACCTGTCCACCTGTGAAAAGCTGACTTTGACAAAGGGTCAAAATGCCTGAAGAGAAGGAATGGTCTTTAACAAATGGTAAGGGCGAAACTGGACATTAATTTATGGAAAATGAAACAAGATCCATCTCTTTCACCACATGCAAAAGTTAACTCAAGCTGGAAAAAAATACCACAAAGTATTAAAATCTAAAACCATAAGGATCATAAAGAAAAAATAAGAGACTCTTATACATGGTTTAAGTACACTATTAAAAGTAAATAAAAACTCACAAACAGCAGAAGACAGACTGGATGACTAAAAACAAACAAACTCACTGTCCTCAACTTGATGCCAACTCACAGTAGTCCTATAAGACAGGGTAGAACTTCCCCATCGGTTTCCAGAAGTGTAGTTCTTTATGCGAGTAGAAAGCCCTGTCTTTCTCCCTCAGAGCAGCTGGTGGTTTCAAACTGCTCACCTTTCATTTCCCAACACAGCTGGGACCTTCTAAATTAAATATGTAAGTGAATTAAGACTTCACCAGTAGAGTAAAATGAGAACCTACATACTGTAGTTTTTTTTAATTGGCACGGATATATAAGACAAGTGATTGCATAAAACAAAGTAAATCTTTACAGGATCATATAAAAAAAGAACATGCTTGATACACCAATAGGCAAGGCTTTGATGACTACAATGAGGCCAGGGGGGTAGGAACAGGGCAATGGGTGAGGAACCAAAAAAAAAAAAAAAAGGAGGGTTAAGCAGAATATTGTTGTTTTTGTTGTTTTTTCATTTCTTGGGCTGTGTAATCTACATGTAGTATGAGGAGGTCTCCCCTACCCCCAAAAAATGGAAAATAGCTCTATTGGGCAGAGCTTTTGTAGTACACAGCTTTCCCACTAGGCGAGCATCCAGCAACTTGCTCGGAGTTAGTGTACCCAGTGGCGTCGCCTGGGAAGGTTCTCTCTGGTCACAGTGAATTTTTTTAATAAAAGCAGTTTCGCTTAGGTTATTGCCCACCTTTTGAGAGTCCAAAGGGATGGCATTACAGATTTTCTTACAAGATAAATGATCATGGGGCTTTATTAGGGTGTTTTAAGAAATTTGGAAACTGCATTGGTAACAAAAAGACCAGGAAAGTACACAAAGTAATATTTTTCTATTGCTACAATGCACCTACTCATTCTTCCAGGGTAACAAGGCCTCTCCTAGGGGAATTTATTGGCAAAGCATCACCATCTACCCTATAGTCCATCTTGTCCCTTCAGACTTTGTTTTGTTCCCAAAACTCAAAGATGGGTTCAGAGGAACACCATGAGAGTCCCTCAAAAATGCCGTTTTGATATAAATACATATTCTGTGTCTTTTTTAGTATGTGAGGTTATCATATGACACCAAACCTGAAGTCATTCTGCAACTTCTTCTTAAAGAATGGCAAATGGAGTTGCCCAAACTCGTTATCTCTGTACATGGGGGCATGCAGAAATTTGAGCTTCATCCACGAATCAAGCAGTTACTTGGCAAGGGCCTTATTAAAGCTGCAGTCACAACTGGAGCCTGGATTCTAACTGGAGGAGTAAACACAGGTAATGTAATGATTATTCTAATCTTATTTCATGTGTTTGTAGTTTTTTTTAAAATCAGTTTAAAATTTGAAATAATAGTCAATGCTGAAATAGCAACATATAGAGTACTTCTGATAAATAATCTAATACCTAATTTCTGGGTAAAAATGACAACTGTAAGTATTTGACTTTGATTTAGGCTTTAAAAAAATAGCTTACTTTAGAGCAGTGGTTGTCAACCTTCCTAATGTCGCAACCCTTTAATGCAGTTCTTCATGTTGTGACCCCCCTCCAAACTATAAAATTATTTTCATTACTACTTCATAAATGTAATTTTGCTACTGTTATGGGTTGTTCTATCCCCAATGGGCTAGCGACCCACAGGTTGAGAACTGCTGCTTTAGAGCAAAGGTTGTAAGTTATAGACCATTTGCCAAATCTGACCCACTCCTTGTTCTTGTAAATAAAGTTTTATTGGAACACTGAGAAAATGGTGTGGAGGCCACATCTTACCTATAGCTTCAGTAGACAAGGGAATCCAGCTCCACACTAACCTCAAGCTGATTAACACAAGACAGAGGTCACACATGCCTCCACCATCCCTTAGCACGCTGTTCTGACACCAGCTGGTTCTTCCCCAACACTGCACTTCTCTAGCTAGGCTGGATAGTTCACTGCAGTGCCCACACAGAACTCAACAGACAATATGATTATGAGTGTCTATTAGGGCAGTTAACAAGTTAACACCGTTCAGGATCATAAAACATTAAGGCTATATACCGTATATATTTGAGTATAAGCCGACCCGAATATCAGCTGAGGCACCTAATTTTACCACAGAAACTGCATTAAAAATGTATTGGAAAACTCAGCTTGTACACGAGTATATACGGTACCTCATGTCTTTGGTCCATAGCAGTGCCTTTTCTCAGCCATAGCCTAGTCTCTCTGGTCCTCAGACTCTTATCCCATGCACTCCCTTAACCTCAACCTCTGTGGGCCAGCAAGCCTGCCTACAGCTGTCTCATGATCTCAGTGGTGCTGGTCCTCTGCCCTGTCTAATGGTTTGTGCTGTGGTCTTCGCTGTCTCTGCCACTTTAGACAGGATCTCAGATCTCATGCACTAACTGATGGCCATTCTTCTTGATGTTCCTTAGATTCTCTCTGTTCCTACTTTGAAGATTCTTATGTATTCAGAGTAATGGCACATAACTGATCAATCTCAAGTTCTCAACTCTTTATTTCCATGGTTTTTCCTCATTATTTTGTGGGAGTTATAGAGAGATGGATAGAATAGCCATATTTAAGCACTTTCACTTCACCACATACATACTCAAGCTTAATTGTTTACAAGTTCAAAATGGTTCATTTCTGGCCATCGGAAATCACGGCAGCTTACATATTGCATAGCAACTTACTGCATGTCTTTATAGGAAAGAGGCAGCATTGCCCCACTCAGAGATGGCAGCTGACCTCTTTCTTTTTTCTATCTTTGGGTCAAAATGCAGATTGGATTGCTGTACAGTGAGTGTGCTGCTATTGTTTTTGTTGGCTGTGACTGATTGGTTTTGAACTGGTTCAAGCCCAGGTTTGTGTACTGTCTGTTGCTGTTTTTTGTGCTGCAACAGCTGCGGTTAGTAGCTTAGACAGAGGGTGTGTGCTACTCAAAAGTTCAGAATATGTACTATCTGACTGTCTATGGGAAAATGATTGCTGGAACATGATAGGCTTTTAATAAATGTGAAAACACTGGGGGCGGGGGGTTGGTGAGGAACTATTACCTATGGACAGATAACAGAAAACTAGATACTTGAGAGAGGGTATATAGGTCAATGGTTCTCAACCTTCCTAATGTCGTGACCCTTTAATTTTAATAATACAATTCCTCATGTTGTGACCCCTCAACCATAAAATTATTTTGTTACTACTTCATAACTTTAATTTTGCTACTGTTATAGGGTGACCCCTGTGAAAGGGTTGTTTGGCCCCCAATCTACAGGTTGAGAAGTGCTGCTCTAGAGCCAGGAGTTTGCATTACTCAATAAGCAAAATACATACTGTGTGGACTAAGACTTTGAAACGAGGTGTGTTTGTGTTGGGGAAGGTGCTGTAGGGTTGGGAGTGACAGATGCCAATCTTAACCAGAAACAATCTTTGATGTAGTGAAATGAAGCTATATGAAAGTGTTCACTTCTGATTAGTAAATAAACACAAGTTAGCCTATGCTTACCTTATTGAGCAGTCCTACCCTAATTAAAACAAAGTGTTCAAATTACTCTCTGTCTACCAAATGATAAAAGTTATATTCCATTGCTTAGGCAGTAGGAAAAATCTGGTTTTTAAAGTTAATTTACTATTTTTATTTGCAGTAAACACACACGCATATATATATGTGTGTGTGTGTGTGTATAAATCTTTCATTTTAAGCTTTCCTCATCACTTATATGGATTAGATACAAGGAAGGGAAATTAATTTTTTTAAAAATTAATTTTTAAATCCAAAATAAAACATGATTATTAAATCAGGTGGCAAGAAAAAAAAATTTTTGTTTTTGATTTTTTTTTTTACAGTAAACTTTCAA